ACAAGCTTCTGTCCAAGTTTGGTACAAATCCAGAATAGTTTAAGAAAGTTATTAAAATTTCAAAAACTTTAACCACAGAGTGAATATTTGTGGACGCCACCGCCGACGACACCGACGGAATGTAGAATCGCTTTGTCTCGCTTTTTCGACTAAAGTCGAAGGCTCGACAAAAAGGAACACCTTACAACAGTTCATAAATGTGACCTTTAAACAAACTCATATTCATGTGATGGGTACATGTATACTGATCAGTGGTTTTCAATTTTGTTTGTTTGTTTATAATTACAAGGTAAAAGCTGTTTTGTCTAGGCTATAAATATCTTTTTTAATGAATTGGTTTCGGTCATCAAGGTGAAGAGGATACAGTGCGATTCAAATTGTATATATTTACAATTAAACTTGCAGGCCTTTTTTCATGACCCACAATTTAAACTATAAGAAAACATCAAAATGAAAAGGGACATCCGGAAAATATCTTCAAAGCGAGTTAAAGGTTTTAAAAGTGATTGTTTTTAACAAAAGAGGTTTGTCATCTAAAACTTTTAAGAGCATACACAAAGCACAGAACTTAAAATTGCCAAAGCTTGCTATCCTAAGCATAAAAAACCTTGCAGAGCTGGTGTAAGGATCTTAATAATGATCAATATCAAGCCATTGTTCAAATAACCATGAACATATCTCATATTCCAATAAAAACGGCTATTTTACAGGTTCACGTATTGCATTTCTTAAACACATATAATCATTAATTGATTAAATTACTTCACATTTGCATTTGAACTTTAGCCAAAAAACTAACTCTAATTTAAAAACAAAAACCAGCATCTTAGAATGAAACATCAAGTGGGTGACTTAACGTGATGTCTTTTGGGAGAGAGGAGAAAAAAAAATATTCCTTTAACAAGAATATTTCACCCCACATTGAAAAGTATTTACTTTAAGTAAACAGTCACTGTCAGTTTCTAATTCTTATATAACAAAAATGATATAAAACAATAAATCTTTTTTTTTAAACAATTATCTTATATCTAATGCTAAACAAGCATTTGGGTTTACGATTGCATTTCTTTTTTTAAAGAAAGCAACTTGTTATCGTTGTCGCCTACGGCTCAGTCATTACCGCTTTCTTGGTCAATACCACTGTCCTGTGGGCAGTCCATATATCACGATAATGACCAGTTTTTCAATAACTATTATGTACTTACGTCATGTCTCGTGAAAAATACATAAGAGATATTAGTTGTATTTGGGGTACATGTATATAATAAAGTGTATATGATATGGGGTTTTCAATATCGCACACCGTATCAATCCTCAACCAATATAATCCCTCGAGCAGAGCTCTTTGGATTGTATTAGTGTCTCGGGTTGATACACCGAGGTGTGATATTGAAAAAGCCATATGATGTTCTCTATATATTCGGTGAAAAGCTCAGCCTAGCTGTTCTCTCTGTTTCTAAAGATTGTTAAATAAATTATATATTTTCCGACACTGTACGAATATAGTATATGTAACAGCAAAATGCTCTGTTTAAGAAAATAGCATATATAGAATATCAGTCTGATACGTGTAAACATTATAGGCCAAACCCGATCAAGTGAATTTGATTAGATATTTAAAAAAAAATCTTTTCGAAAAGCAATTCATAATTTTAATCAATGATATGCTGAATTAAGTCGGAAATGATTTAAAGTAATGATGCTTAGAGTTCTCGAAAAATGGAGGTCCAAAGTTTTTGACCACCAAAATTTTCAAAGGACAGACACAATTTTGGTATTTTGCAATAGAAATAATAGTGAGGACCAGCAGATTTTCTTCAAGGACCACTAGCGAAAAAAGATTTCAAGAATTCTGTGTGCTGTGATAGAACATTTAGAATGTACAAGTCCTCGAATATGCATTTTCTTGGCATGAAATGCTGAATAATATTTCTATTATGGATTCCACTGTAAGATGCCCTCTTATTGAACATTCTTTAACATTTATGTTAATCGTGTTGAAAGTGCATACCATTAGGACATCGTGACAGTGGATTACAGATTTATGGCAAAGCAACTTGTAAAATTTAGAAAGAAACATTGTTTCTAAGGTCGGTGTTAAATAAGGAAGTTCATGTCAAGTTAACTTCATGTCATGATTGATGAATTCTGGATTGAAAAATGTATTAAAGTGTAGTAAACTGATATTTACTCTATACAAAATCTTCCGTGTATAGTTACGCTATTAGAGAAATTATTCTTTCAAAACACGTGAATGGATTAAAAATGACAGGTTAAACACTGTATATGTTTTAAATGGTATAACATAAGGGTAACATTAGATTCGCTGTGTGGTGGATAACATTAGATTCGCTATCATTGCTAGTCTGTGTGGTGGTATAACATAAGGATAACATAAGATTCGCTATCATTGCTAGTCTGTGTGGTGGTATAATAAAATTGAGAACGAAACATAACCATGGAAGTATTATATTGACAGGAATAACAACGTCGCCACTTCTAAGGATTCATCTGCGTTACCGCCTATCTTTCAATAACTTGTTAATTGGGTTAAGCGCTTCTTCGTTATTACCTGTTTTTCTCGAGAACTGCTTTGATGCGGAAAATACTTCAAGTTAGATCAATTTAAAACTAACAGTAAAAATATAGAATTACATGCAGAAATAAAAAACCAAAATGAATAAAAAAGCCTGGTAATGGACCCCCCCCCCCCCCCCCCCCCCCCCCCCCCAAAAAAAAAGGAGGAATACGACGAAGAAAAAACTCAATGGTTAGTCCCTATTAGACAAAGAAATTAAACAAAAGAGAAAATGGACAATAAAAAAAGAATAGAAAAAATGTCTTGATCCATCACCCCCGAAAGGTATAGGCAAATAATTTGTGAACGCATTTGAGAATGAAACTGTTGTTAAAAGAAGCTGATCAGAATTACAAAATTGAAATAATTAAACAAATTATATGACAAATAAAGTTAATAAGATTTGGCAGAACCGGTACGGGACTAGATCAATACATTAAAGAACTCTCTATCTTTTAATATCCATGAAAGCACAATTTGTATTAGATTTGGGGCATAGGATTCCGACCTCTTTATTTGCGTTCTCCATGTATAAAGTACCTGCACGGTAATTAATTTCAATGAATCATTATACGACGGAAGTACATCATATCAAGATGTGAAAGCTAGGAGCAACATAATTATAGGCCAAACTTTTTTAAACGGTGCTTCTATCAATAAGGCTGACAAAGAAGTTTGTTCCAATGTTGGTTTCATCTCCTCACGAGTTCCATGTCTTTATCATAACTTTGTTGGTGATAACAGGATATTAAAAATCAGCTCTGTAGATTTTTTTCTTTTCTTTTTATTGGCTTTCTTGGACTAAACATAAGATAGAACCTAAATAGTCATCTGGGTCACCTCAGTCTTTTTCATGTTTTAGTTGGGTTTTGGTTTGGTCATTTGATTTTAATTGTTTTTGTCACGTTTGTTTTGTTGTTTTGCTTTATTTTCATTGTTATAGTAGGCACCAGACCAGAGATTTTAAAAAGTTCTATAAAGTCTAAATCACGTTATAGAAATTTATTAATTAACAGTTTTTGAATTATTGTTTAAGCGCATGGGTAAAATGAATTTCAAAGGATACCTGTATAATCAGTCATGCTATACTAATATGGTTTGCTCTTTACCTTATGTCAATCTCAGTATAGTAGACCTGATATTGCCTAGGCTGATAATTATAACATAACCATGAACTTATTATAAATTGATGCCACGTGACGATATCCCCTTCATTAAAGATATTACAACTTACGGTTATAAATATTTATTAAAGTTTATGCTAGGTCTTCCTGGTCCAACTTGAACTCACGATTTTGAAATATGAATATACGTATCCGTAAAGCTTTTTAATTTTAACCACATTCAAGGTTAATCTATAGTGTGCATGTAATTGGATATCTTACGAAACAAGTCATCTCTTATGTTTCGTTGTGCAGCAAATATTGAAAATTGTATAGCAAAAAAATCTTTTGAATTATCTCAGCTATGTGAATTGATTAGAAATTTTATTGTTTGGTATCAGTGTGTCTTAATTGTTTTATCGTAGACATTTACCCGCGTGCATGGTCCGCAATGTAGCAACACAATATCACAATGACCAAAAGAGTTGTTGTTCCGCAGCTTCGACGTATACATTTCATTTCACTAACATTCATTCAACTTCGCACACATATTATGTTTTGCATTTTTAAACTATATGGTAGCACTCTATTATATATATAATATGCATAGATTTTTTCTAGAAAGTCTAGATTATGTAGAACCAACAAAAGAACTTGTAAGAATTGAAATAAGCGTCAATTTGTTTTTCTCGAAACCCTCTATCTAAAATATACCGAAAAACTGCTCAACTGCATATACTTTCAAAAGATTTCTGCTAAGCTGTCAATTTCTATTTTGCCAGTTGACAACACTATATATAAGCTGACCAGAAGGTGCGACAGCAACGAAATGGAATATGAAATAATCAAAATTTAAGGATATGAATAATCTCATAACACTTTTTTATACACTAAATACTGATAACCTTAAGAGTTTGTGTACGTTACAGATATAAGGCCTCCAATGGCTTGTTTTGTGATTTTTTGTGTGTTTTTTATATAATCGGTTGCAGGGGCGGATCCAGCAATTTTAAAAAGGGGGGTTCCCAACCCAGGATAAAGGGGGGGGGGGGGGGGTGTCCAACTATATGTCCCCATTCAAATGCATTGATCGTCCAAAAAAAAGGGTATCAACCCCCGGAACCCCCCCCCCCCCCCCCCCCCTTGGACCCGCCACTGGGTAGGTGTAGATCTAGTTGTGAACACTTTTAGACTTACTTGTTAAATATTTACAATTCTTAACAAGTTTCTGCGAGTCAACCTTTACTGTCGTTTTCTACATTACATGTAGTTTTATCGGGAGTTGAAAACTTTTTTATAAAACTATTTTTTGTTTTTAGATTCTCCAGCCGTCTACTTCTCATTCGAATGGTGGTAGTCTTGGGAACATCGAATTTAGCTGCCCAGCAGGTAATTGTCATATCTTAACTATCAAATTTATATCAATAAACATTAAACATACAGGCTAACATGCTATTAAAAGCACGTAAAACGATCACTAAAGCTGTTCTTATGAGTTATCTAGTTATTCAAGTCCGATTATATTATTCACATGATCACGGAAAGTTACATTATTCAAGTATTCAGGCCAGATGGTCACATTCAAAGAGAACATAACATGTCTTATATATTTCTTATGCAGCATAAATACTGCAATCTGATTGGTTAATTACCCGGGTGTAAATAACACCCCACCCTTGTTCACCCCGGGATAAATAAAATTTGGCCAAAAAATTAAAAAAAATAAAATTTGGCCAAAAAATTTAAAAAAATAAAATTTTGCCAAAATAAAGAAAAAATAAAATTTTGCCAAAATAAAGAAAAAAAATAAAATGTCAAAAAAAAAAAAAAAAAAAAAAAATGTCAAAAAATGAAAATAAAAAATAAAAAATGAATAAATTTGTGGACAAAAATTTGTAAACAAAATATTTAATTTTTTTCCTGAAAATTCGAAAGCACACAAATAAATTCTGAATTTCCAAAAAATAAAGAAAAAAAGTATTTAACAATGCGCAGCAACATCTACGTTGAAAAAATGTTACACTGGAAATTTTTCATTAGCATTTTTCAATTTTACATCCTGGTTTAAAAATGGGTAAAGGAATTGTTCATAAGCAATAAATTCGTTATCTTGGTATAATCAGGGGTGTACGGAATTTTACACCGTTGTTGAAAATTCATACACCCATTCGGCTGCGCCTAAGGGTGTATGAATTTTCAACAACGGTGTAAAATTCTATACACCCCTGATTACACCAAGATAACTAATATTATTACTTTGGAACTCAAGTAAGATTGTATTATTCAATCATTTAAGTCAGAATCTTTTATTCAATTATTCTTTACACATTCTACGATTCAATATATATTTCTGATCATTTGCTAATTGGTTATTCAATTTTTGGTCTCTGTTTTGATTATCCAGGTCAATATTTTAACGGAGGAAGCTGCTATTCTGCCGTGAGCGTACCAATGACATGGAGTGATGCCCACAGAACGTGCAAACGGTAAGTCCTTGAGCAGTCGCAATCTTTCTATACTGTTTAGTGTAGATTTAAGCATTGGCGCTTGGGTATATAAGTTCTGCTCCAACCCCAACCCCAATTGTTTGCACTGAAGTTTTCAACTTTACATATTTACCACATGTTTGGCACTACTATGCTTGTCTTACCAATTGTTCAAGGTTAACTTATCAACTCTGATAAAATCCCTAAATTTTACTATCCATGCTAGCTTAAAAAAACGTATTGATAGTAAAATTATGGATTTAATCAGATTTGATTAATAATTTAAAATAACTTAAAAGACAAGCATAGTAGTGTTTTAAGTATATGGTGTAAAAATAGAAAATTGAATACTAGTATTCGTGAGGAGGGAAAGTCCTGTACCGAATCGCGTGTGCATGGTTGTTATGTGTACATAAATGTCAGGTCATCTTCTAAATGTCGAAATTATCGGATCCATTTGAATTGCGAAAAAAGGATTTGAATGTATACATTTTATTGTACATTTTCTCGTGAATCTTATGTTAATTATCCACTGGCCTAGACAAATAGAGGGACTAATAGAATAGAGAATGGAAACGGGGAATGTGACACTGAAAGAGGCAACAACCCAACCAAAGAGCAGAAGACAGCCCAAGGCCACCAGTGGGTCTTCAACACACAAAATGACGCACTCGGAGCGTTCCCTTAAACAATAATAATTAAGATAAGCCGTATATATGCAGTGGGGGGTCCAGGGGACGTAGGTGGCGAACACCCCCATTTTTGATCGCAAAAAAATAATAATATATACTAGTATATCAGGTTTCTCACAATATGTATGATTTTTGAGCATAAAATCGTCCAGTAATTTTTTGGCCTTACTCTGCTCAGCTGTATATGTTAATTCATTTTAATGAAATTATGCCCTTTCAAAAATCCTGAATCCGCCCGGCCTGGTATGATCTCGCCACATTAAATTACCTGTCGTAAGGAAACTCGTCAGCGGTTTAAGGTAGATGGGGGTCTAAATTAAAATCAATTTGCCAAAATGTAGTTAGATCGGGCCGGGATGCCAGGCTAAAATTATTCTTCATTCGGAACACTTTAATATTCATCTTATCTGTATTAGCCTCCTGCAATTAAGAGCACCTCCATACGGGGGTATCTGAGATATTTAAAACGTTGCAATAAAGAAATTGTCACAAATCGCTTATTCTCTTGTCTGATATATGATAATAAACTAAATGTATCTATAGATCACTTTCAAACATCTGTGTTAAAGCTATATTTATGCATCGTAAGTGTTTACTTGAGCAAAGTTGACAGTTGCAAAGTTTGATAAACAAGTGAAAGTTAAATGGTCAAGATTTATAACGACCTATGGTATCGAACATCAGTGCCAGATATTAATGGTGTTGTGGTTTCTACATAATGAGTTCTAGTAGGCTTTGGGATTTGTTGATTTGTAACAATAAATTTTATGCACATGTCATTTTAACAAATCAGATAAACAAAAATGTCCGTTTCAAAAACTGAAAATAAAACAAATAAAATAAAGACTGTTTGTTAATATTCCCAGGAAATAATCATATTTTTAATAATAAAAAAATATATTATATATTTTTTTAAATAAGGAAATAGATTTAACAATTGCATGTGAATCTTTCATGAGGTCTTTAAAAAATATGTTATGCAAAAGAAAAAAATACAAATACACAAAACAATTACCTCTAGATTTTCACACTGAATAAGCATATAATGGATTCTGTAAACATGGAAAGTTAGAAAAAGAGTGTATTTGATCTTACGTTCGGGTATTTGTTTAAGCAATTATATATCAATATAAAAATTAAGATTGAAAATACATAATAAACTGATACCAACATTCTTTTAATAAATATATCGGAATTTATGAAATTGTGTTTTAAAATTAAAAATTATTATGAAATGCGGTTCCTTCAACCAACATACGATATAAATCTCAAAACTTTAAACCGTTTTTGCTAACTAAATAAATGTTTGTTGCCTATAATTCAGAATTTTATCAGTGTTTCGGGATTTTTTGCTTAAAATTGTTTAAGCATGGGTCCCTTTTCAAAAGTCTCCCAACTACTACCTCGCAAGGTATTCTTGTTGGCATGCGTTTATATGCTTTTTTGACCTCGTGTGACTCAATTTTATTAATGAAATCTTTTGTTTCTCGAATGTAAAAGTTAAGCCTCTTCAATAATAGTTTTATAATTAGATCAAGAAATCTCTCAATGCGTCTCTTGGGAGAGTTACACTTATTGATAATTGGTCGGCAAGGAACATTTAATGTCTTCTACTATCTGACCAGTTCGCAATGCCTCATTAATTATGTCTAGATTTATTTTATGAATTTTTCAAAGAAGGTACATGTGTCCATGTTTTGAATCATTGTCATTCTTTAATAAAGTATATACGTTTGGGAATCCATTTCTTTTTATGCCCCCTACGTAGCGGTGGGGGCATTACGTTTTACCCTTAACTGAATTGGTTTCCGTTCTCTAACTTAAGTTTGCCTCAAACAAATGTTATGAAACTTATACAAAATGCTTATTACCACAAAATGCCGATCAAGTTCGAAATTGGTGGCGTCACTTTAACCGTTCTAGAGTTATGCCCCTTTTCAAATGAAAATTGCTGAATTTTTCATTTCCGTTTTCTTACTTTAGTTTTTCTCAACCAAATGGTATGAGACTTATACATAATGCTTATTACCACAAAACACAGATCAAGTTAGAATTTTGGTTGTGTAACGTTTACTGTTCTAGAGTTATGCCCCTTTACAAACATAAAAGTTTCCGTCCTCTTACTTAAGTTTGCATCAACCATATATTATAAAACTTATACGCAATACCTATTACCACAAAAGTCAGACCAACTACAAATTTGGGTAGTGTCACTTTTACCGTTCTTCAGTTATGTCCCTTTAAAACTTTATATGATATGCAAACAGGGGCATCACGTGTGTCCCATGGACACATTCCCTTTTTGTATTCATCTCACTTTATAATTAACACCACTCTCATATTGTCATGATTTACAATAATTTAAAAAGAAAATATTATCCTCCACACACATGAAAGCACTAAATATAATTTTTAATTTAGTTGAATTAATAAATAGCATAAAAAAGTTCTAAGGTTCACGTATTGTCTTTTTTTTTTAAAAAGCAACTTGTTAGTATATTATAATTCGGTGCTGCATCATTTACATACAGTCAGCATTATATCTCCTCGGTAGAGAACATACAGTTCTTGATATACTTTCTGATGTCGATTCTATTAAGACGACACTTTTTATGATACATGTATAAAATAACTAAAAGTAGTACTTTTTACGTTTTTTAATGGCCCATAAATCTCCAGATCTATAAAGATTCTGCAAGAGCCTTGAATTACTTAGAAATATTGATTCATTTGACCTGGGACAGGACATCTATCTTTTTGTTGTAAACACTATAAATATGGGATAAAATCTTACATATTAGGCTAAAGATTTTTAGGTGAATATAATAAGAGTGTATCATTTATGATTACGGCTAAGTATAAAAGACCAAACCAATTAACTAACGACAGATTTTAATTGCTTTCTTAAGTAGGTGTCAGCACGGCCTGCATCTACCATGAACGAACATGCTACACAGCACTAGCGGCTAACAACCTATTGGTCCCATCACCATCAATTGCCTGTTACCACAATCAGCAGCTAGTGTCAAAAAGGATGTAATGAGGCAGTGAATGCACTCACATATGTTTTTTTTTTCTGCCGATAGCTAACCATGCATCTTTGAATAATTGCATTATTTTCTTAGATTAATTTTATCAAACTTTATAGAAAAATCTTTGGTTGTAATTTTTTTAAACGTTAATTAGATTTTAACACTACACCGTTTTAAGCAGACATTTTTTCTACAACATTTAATTTTTTGAAGAAAAACAATACACAATGCATATCTAGCGAAAAAATGATGCCTGAATTTGATCCGATATTGAAACAAACACACAAGCAAAGCGCGGAAGCGTCGACAAAACAGTTTTTCCGCGTGTAATTTACAAGCTTTACAAACTTTTTTTATTGTCACGTCTTTGCGACTTTCGTAGCAGCATTCAGATTCAGTTTGTGATTAAATTATTTTTTAGACATTAATTACTAAAATATCAATCAGAATTCGCTATTGTTAATAGGGAGTTGCTATTTGTCTGAAACGAACCATGAACTGCTATCGCTAATTATATAAACATGCATGGAAACAATGGAACCATGCATGAATCGCCATCGTTATCCACATAACATAACGTAAACGAAAACGTGAATCTTTATCGTTATTCACATAAACATGAATGTACACATATAAATCGATATCGTTATTCACATATGACATTTATACATATGACGGGTGCCACATATGGAGCAGGATCTGCTTACCCTTCCAGAGCACACGAGATCACCCCCGTTGCAGTTTTTGGTGGGTTTCGTGTTGCTCAGTCTTTAGCTTTCTATGTTGTGTTTTGTTTACTGTTGCTTGTTTATCTTTTTCATTGTTAGCCATGTCGTTTTCAGTTTATTTTCGACTTATGAGTTTGAATGTCCCTTTGATAGCTTTCGCCTCTCTTTCAGATAAATATGACTGGTCGTTGTATGGAAACAGTATTCCTTTATTACTCACATTATCATAAATAAACAAAAGAGATTATTATTATTCCTATAAATATTAAACATATTTATATATACAATTATATATTTTATTATACCGAACTAACAGTGGAAGTGCCAAGTTCTGAATTATTGAAAAAGCATCTGCCTTACTGCACTGTAGTAACAGATTTTCAAAACACCTCTTTTGTGTCTAAGAATTTCGTGTGTGTACAACCATGGAAGTAATATTTAAATTTCAAATTTATTCAATATTACTTCCATGGTTCAACAAAGGTAGACTCTTTCTGTAAAATATCAATGGCCCTTTCCCTCCACACTAGATGAATTCTCAAGCCTTGTTTGCTCTTGTTTCCTCGTCACGTGATAGCTTCTACCCTGGTCGTATTGTCGTTGTATGGAAATAATAATCTAATTATCTCATAATTCATAAAAGAACTGTTTGCAAGGTTTATCATGTTATAAATCTGTTATCTTTACAGACAAGGCCAGTATTTGTTTTGGGTGAAAGATGTGGATGAATTAAAAGCAGTTGATCATTTAGCAAAGTCAACATGGGAATATTATTGGTCAGGTTAGTCAATTATGGAAGAAAAAAGATACAATAAGAGGTGATCGAAAAGCTTACGGAAGTTTGGTTTAAACAATATTTTTTCAATAAATCAAAGGTTTGTATCTATAGACTCTCACTATACAAATCCTTGAATAAATCAAATCATGGGGGATGTATAAGATAATACACCATAAACAATAAGGCACAGAGACACAGCAACATTGCTTATTTTAATCTCATTCTGTTTCCACATAAGTTCATAAGTTTGAAATATATAATAAGAAATACATGTAAAGGACAGAAAATTAAAAATTTTAGATTTCTAAATATCAAAAAATCCATCAGGGTCCACCATATCTATGGGTCCACAAAAAAAGGAGGCATCGGCTATTTTTCCGGCTCTGATTAAATATCTTTATTAAAGCCGACAAAATAGCATATTTCTATAGCAATAGCCGGCAATATAGTGAATTTGTTATTTTCCCGGTTCTTTGTAATAATCTAATTTTGATATTAATTATGAAAAGTACTACGAAATGTGCATTGTCAGCATATAAAAAGAATCAAATTAGTACTTGTATAGTTAAATAAGAATTTGTTTTACAGTAACAGCATTTGAGATACATATAATCGTTGAAAAACAATCAGTCAAAGTGAAAATAAGAATTTCTAAAAAAAAAAAAAATAGAAAAATATTGAGCATCCATTTGTAACAATGAAATCATATAAAAATATGTTGCTGAAATTACTTCTTAAATCAGTCACAGTCTTATGCTACATGTATGCATAAGAATAAAATCTCAGAAGTTTTGAACTGTATCTTGTAAAAATATAAAAATAAAAAATCTCATAGAATATAAATTTGATAAGACATTTTACAATCTAACAAAATCAAATCACATAGCTTCAAAAGTCAAAAATGTTCAAATTAAGGTGGCTAGGGCGTCTTAATTAAAATTGATAGAATTTTTTAATAATTTGTCAAAATGAAGTATTTATCATGCTTTTTTCAAAAATATAATAAAAAGTATGGGTCACCGGACTTTTTTTCATGCTACAGATAGTGCAAAATTGTCAGATTTTGTATAGATAATGCATGGAAAATCAAATTTTGTGTGATAAAAAGAAAACTATCTGATAGAATTTTAAGATATAATGTGAGAAGATAGCTCTTATAACATGCTTTCAGATAAGAAAAAGAAAAAATGGGGTCACCGAACTTGTTTTCTTGCAACACTTTCTATTATAAAAATGACTTTATCGGAGTTACCTTCCCTTTTTGGCAAACTTGAAAAAAAAATAATCAAACACAAATAAGGTGTTTTTGAGAAATTGCAGCAATAATCATGATAAAACATACAATTTTCTATAATTACATCAAAAGTCTTACACATAAATTGCATACTACTCTCAAAATTTGCACATTTAATCAAAGATCTAGACCAAAGTTATCTGCTACATGTACTTCAGAATCCAAGATGGAGGAAGACACCCGAGCCACCTTAAATTTGCTTTTGTCAGAAATAATAGTCAGTTATTTGAATTGTTAATGAAAAAAAAAGTTATTTGAATTGCATATCTGTAAACAAAATCATTTTTGGGCAAAATTGGCTTCCACTTACCTAGAGCCGTCGAAATAGCATGTTTTCTATTTTGCCGGCGTCGGCAAATTGAAAATAGCCACTGCCAAAAAAAGTAAATAGATGAATCGGATGTGGAAATACCTATTTTAGCTTTTTGTATTGGGAATTTGGCGGGAGATTGAATGCTGCGGAGGAGAGAATTTCCATTTTCACGGAAAGTCCGTGCTTTTGTTGACGCAACATATAACAATGGTTAAAGCAGAAAACAGGCAGACAGAAATTATCAAAATCTTCCATGCTTATGAAAACAAGTCACTCAAGGTATACAAAATTGAACTCTGATCTTTTGAACTGGTTTTGGTTTATCATGACAAATGGACGCAAATAGACGTAATTACACTTGTATGCAAATTTGTCCGAATGGGAGACGAGAAAAGTTTTGAAGTATGTCATCTGTCTTTGTATAGTCATAATAGTTTTAGAGTGTTCCTTTTCATTAACATTCTATTTAATAAAATATTCTTATTCTTATCTGGGAACAGTATGTCAATATATATGTTCCTGTTCTTATATGGGCGTTTTTCAATAAAAGTGTGAATTTCAGACCTAAAAAAAATTGAAAATCAACTTGTCTAAAATTTTATTTCAAGAGTTATTTTGAATACCTCTATTATAGACCTGTTTGTAAATAAGAAGTGCAATCTTAAATACTCTTTAAAATAATATTATTTTCATAATTTATGTACTGTTTCGTAGGGGACATTTGCACATCTTATTGCATTTTAATGTCTCCTATAGACATTCCAGTTTGTTTTACTTTATATACTAGAAAGATCTCATTTTTTTCTGAATTGGAGAACCATTTTTTATCGATATAGATTAGACAGTACTTCACATATGAAGGTACAACTCATGTTACGTAGTGGACATTTTGATGAGTTTCGTAGTTGACAAAACCGTTTCGTAGTGGACAAAAAGTTTCGTAGTTGACATCAATCCTATTCTATGTTGATAAAGACATACTGAAAATTACACGAAACTAACCCTTGTTATTTGTTTCGCACGAATATAATTGAAAAAATAGTAAAAAACGACTGCATGGTAGTGGTAGTGTCCACTACGAAACGTTTTTCTCCCATACTTGTTTCGTAGGTGACCGTTTCGTAGTGGACATATTCACATGTTTTATTTTTTTCCCCACAATCCCTATATTGCAATAGTAACAAGAATGATTCTATTCATCAAAGCACGTACTAAGCTGTACACTGATATTTTTTTCATAACTTTAAAACCAGATACTGATTGAGATTTGACCCGTTTCGTAGTGGACATTGACAAAAATACGGTATCACTCTGGTCCATTTGATGTGCTCAATTTTTTTTTGCCAACAATTTAACTGCCGTTATTAAAGCATCACTTTTTTGTAAGACCCTAATGTTTATATCTCTTGCAAACATTGATTTTATAAAACTGTTTATTTGCAAAATTTAATGACTTCGTTTCGTAGTGGACATTTTGTCAGGAATGTCAGGGACACACCTTCTAAAATTAAAAATCCTTTGTCAAAAGCTGTTTATTAAAATATGTTGGCTCTAAACATACTTTTGAATAATTAAAGAACTTATATTAAGTAAAAATAACATTTATTTCTACCTTTTTTTACAATATTTTGGAGTATAAATGTTGAACAGGAGGTCTAGGGACATGCCATTTTGGTTATTTTGAACCATTCATGAATCAATATCTTATTAATCCCTCTAAAAATAGTGTGTTTCTTTGCTTAAAAATGTTAAATCTAATTCAATGTACTGACTGCACAAAAAATTACTTGTAAAGATCAAACAATTTTTTTTAAAAGTGGCTAGGACAAGAATTCAAGTTTTTATTGAAAAACGCCCATATAGCATGTATAGTGATTATGCTTATAAATAAAAATAAACAATAAACAACAACCTTCCAACAATTATACTACAGGTCTAAAATACCTGTTGCACTGAAAAACAATGAAAATAAATATAACATTATTTTTATTTGAGAAATTTCAAACAAAACAATTATGTCAGATCACTGTAAATACTTGTATGTATAAAAGTAAAGTAAATTCATATCTGTATATCAGTTACAATATTTATACAGTGAAATCTGTAAACCAATCTCATTCACGACTGAAGTTCAAAATGCATTGAATCTGAGATGAAGGGACTTCAGAACATGGTTTCCGGTTTATTCAGGGTTTGGTTTAGACAAGTTTCACTGTATTAAGCATTAGTTGTTAGTATGACTTGCAGCTTCCCAGATATAATATAATTAATATGAGGCAGGCGTTACCTGTGAAAGGGGACAAAGTCTGTATGAATTATATTTTTTTAATTCAAACATATTTTAACTTCAAAATCTGTTCAAAAAGAAACGAAAATACCCTTACGTTTCCGATTTCGGTTCTGTTGTTCGGAATTTTAGTTGTGGTGTTATTTATGTTATGACGTCATATTCAATGTAGACAAAGCAATGCTATCAGGTAACGTTTTTTCATATCAAGCCATTCAAGGAATTATTAAAAATGGAATTGGTATTTTGTTCCTTCCTATATTTTACTTGACTGATAAATATATATTTTACTTAAAGAATCATGCAAACGAGACCGGAAAAAGGAAGTAGATTTCTGCGCAAATGCGGGAAAATAAAAAAGTTAAAAAAAAGTTAACGATTTTGAGTTCATTAGTAGAATGAAAATTTTCCCGATATTTTTTTTTTTTTTTTATTGATTTTTCTACCGTAATAGGGGACTTCGTCCCCTTATTATTTCAGGATATATATTAAATTGCATGGTGTTCGCTAGTGTTTTTTTTCTCGACATGAAATTGCTTCAATACTGATCAATACAGAAAGTGGTAAGCTCCAAGGTAAAACTTGATTAGTTCATGTATTCCTATACATGATCATATTAAAAAATTGCACTTCCGTTGCAACTACATGCAAAACAAATCTTGAACAGAACTTCGAACATGGTTTGAGACCTACCATCTCCAGTATTATCTCAAATTTTTTGGCTCGATAATCCTCTAACAGTCTGTATGCATAGATAGCTGTAGTCCCTTATTTAATTATACCATTGTATTTAGAACATATATATGTGGGGAAAATTTCAACAACTCAGTTAATGTGATCACACACACACACAAAAATATGTATACAAAAAATAATATCTTTAGAGTTTACTGTTAAATACAGTCTGAAAAATAGGGCCATATTAATATTATTTTGAAAGTTATATTAATTATTCTAAGACAAATAGTATTTGTATAATAATTAATATAACTTTCAACTTGGAAAGTGGCAGTCAGGGCTCGACAATAACGCTTGTCCGATTGTCCGGTACCAGAGGAAAAAAAGGTCGGACAAGTAAAAGCTATATCAAGCTTGTCCGACGGGACAAGTTAAATTATTATGCAGAAAATAAATTTAATCCAACTTTGATGAACAAAGTAATTATAAACAAAAAACAAGAAAAGAAGATAAACACAAGTATTAATTTGACATGTTTACTTGCAATCGATAATTTAAAACTGGTTCTTTGTCAGGTACTTTTTAACAGGTAAAAGGCATACATGTACTATTCTCGGAAACCAGTCTTACTGATCCGAATCAGGATGCGCTTTGTAGATAAGGTAACTTTACAAGACAGTTCGTCACCAGCTCGGAAACGATTCGGCTCCAAGTTTAATAGACAGTTTGGCACTGTAGGAGACATATTTAATAGACATGATTAATAGACAGTTTGGCAACGCAGGAGACATTTCGGGACCAAGACAAATCAGTACCTCGTTTTCCTACCTTATTCTGTTGCTTTATAATAAATACCATACCGTATTTTTTTTAACAAAAATATTTTTTAAATAAAAATGAAGAAATTATTTACCATAAAATTCCCAAATCATATTTGATCATATATAGAAGAAAAAAACAATACTTGCAATACGGTGACCTATAGTTATTAATTTCTGTGTCATTTGGTCTCTTGCAGAGAGTTGTCTCATTTGGCAATCATACCTCATCTTCTTTTTTTTTTATTGATTGAATTTGAAGAAACTTTTTTCAACTTAAAAAACCAGGATACAAATCCAATGAGTGGAAATTGACAGACCTATCAGACGGTGCCTCATGTGTAGAGTCTGATGAGACTTTGGCATTGATGAAAACTAGAACATAAGTCCTGTGACATGACTAGATTCAGTTGTTCTCGACTCATATTTTTAAAAGGTATTTCAAAAGATATAAATCAAATTCTGTTCTATTGTTTTAATTCATTTTGTTCCTTGAATCAACTTAAAATGCAAAAAAGGTTATTATTAAGATTTTTGTTGGACAAGTTACAATTTCATTCGGACAAGTAAGTTTTGGTATGTACTTGTCCTACTGGACAAGTTGGAAAAAAAGTTATTGTAGAGGCCTGGCAGTCGGGGAAAGGGGGGTAGGGGAATCTTCTTTTATCAATATGGGATGGAAGACGGGGGAGAATTGATGACAAGGGAACGAATTGCCATGTTGGTTTTTTTTCTAAAACCTTAACTGTGAATAGCAGACGAAGTGAACTGCTGCTACTGCATGGATTCCTATGTATGCTTTTAGTTGAACATGTTGAAATACATATATTGATTGTTGTTAAACCACCGATTATTCAGTATCCTTACTATCTCGTGTGCAATGGCAAATGGTTAAACTATCTTTAAATCGCAATAAACTGGCTGTATAATACAAAAAAAAAAACTATCACGCTGATTTCCAATCAAAACTAAACCAAAAGTTGTCCATGCAAGGGAAATAACTATGTATACACAAAAAGGAGGGTTATTTATAAAAATTACTTTTGATATGAACACAGCTATCTAGATTTATTTATTGGACCTAATTATTTAATTAATATATTAAACTTAATAAAAAAGTACATTTTATGGCTGTATAACGTTCCCTTGTATTTTTTTGAATCGAATGTAACTTTCAAACTCTTGTTTGTACCTCAAATATTTCATTGTATTCCTGAAAATTATGATATACAGAATCATGAATATTCATATAATATCTATCAAAAGCAGTCAGAACCTTCTGAGACTTAAGTTAATAGAAGGCTGTAATCGGAGGTCACCCAAAGATTTTATTTTTACACACATCTGGGAACAATTATTTAGGGTAATTTGGAGTTATCTCCCATTGGTTTGCCATACCTACGCAAATGACTGTTTTTACATCTCAAAAAACTACTCTGAGTACAGACAAATCTGTGCAGTTAGAAAATGTTTAAGGACTACCATCCACTAGATTAGAGACATATCATACGAATATATATTTGTCTCTGACTAGATATACAAAAGTTCAATGTATTTTCTGTTTTAGAAAGAATTTTTTGTGGTTGAATTTGATGGATTCTCAGTTTCTAGCTTCAACGAACTTTGATTCATTATTTTGTTTGTAGAATACTTTTTTTGAATTGTATGTACCATACATTATACAATTTATTATGTATGAAGGCTTTTCATTTTGAATCATAACCTACATATTTTTCTATACACGTTATCATACTCGGGGGCGGATCCAGGCATTTATACAAGGGGTGATTCCAACTATATGTCCCCATTCAAATGCATTGATTGTCAAAAATGGTGGGGACGGCACGAAATGTTTGTCATATGTAAAGGAAAGATTTGGGAATTGTTTAGTTTTTATGCAAGTTCCTCCTAACATATTTAAGGAGGACAAAATTTAAGTTTTTCCATTTAGTTGGTGAACCTATGAGACAGCTATGATTTTTTTTTATGTTTTATAATATTGAAACATTCTGACTTTCGAAGCTTTCAGGACTTTTTCAATAAAGTTACCATATTTTATTTTGACAATGCTCTGTGTCACCAAAATTAAATTGGGAAAGATAAAAGGCATCACGCATAATGAATAGAAAAATTTATTATTATCATGCATCAATATGATTTCAGAGGCAAACATTTGAAATCGTTCGTAATTGTAGCCAGTTGTAATTTTACTAAACAGAATGACTTTATATACACAAATGTATGGTCAATAGCTTGACGGTGATCTGTTAGTTTAAAAAAAAAATCACAAAAACTAGAGTAAAACAATATTTTGATGATTATGACTCATAAATTTTGTAAACCCTATTTACAGGAACATATTTATAATTATTTAATGATTTGTTTTATCTGAGAGAATAATAAACGCTGCAGAACAGTTATTATAGAATATATAAAAGATTACAAGGTGTCCTGTCCCTAATATGTTTATTCTAGTAGTTTATTGAAATCCTGCTAAATTTGTATACAATATTAAAAAAAATGTACTGTATATCGTAGGTCTCAGTCGAAGAGAAACTTGGTTGACGGCTAATGAGGCATTATGGAGTCACGAAAATGAAACTTTATTATTGGAAAAAGGTGTATGGGAAGATGACCAGCCAGATACAGGGGATGGAAAATGTGCTTATTTTAAAAAGAATGGATATGGAGCATTTGGAAATTGTTTGAGAAAACTACCATTTGTTTGTAAATCAGAGGCTGTTCTTAAAGGTAAGTATATATGCATATTGAAATGAAGTACATGTATCTTTTTCTAAGAACAAAATCAAAACTGTCTATTAAAAGCCAATAATTCATGCTTGATTGACTTCTATAAAAGAGAAGATATCATAAGGTCACTTTCTTGGAATGTAGGAATAAAAGTGATGGATAAAAAGTCACAGATAAAAAGGTCACAGGAAAAAGGTCACAGGAAATAAAGTCACAATAATAAAAATAGATTAGTGAATTTGGTATATATATATATATTGAATCTTTGAGAATATATTACTTTTGAATAGATTTTTATTAATATGTAGTCGGAAACATATTTATGTATTATATGACTAATGACTTTTATTATACCCCATGCAACGTCCGTCCATCTGTCTGTCTGTCCGTCCGTCTGTCCGTCTGTCCGTCCGTCCGTCCGTCCTTCAGTCCTATTTCTTGTCATCGCAACTCCTCTAAAACCACACAACAAAATTTCACGAAACCTTTTCAGATAATAAGGACATACTATGTAGTTGTGCATATCGACAGGAAATTACGATTAAATTTTTTTTCTAGAAGTTACGCCCCTTTGAACTTATTTACTTTAATGTACTACTGCAACAGTTTGTCATCACAACTCCTCTCAAACCACACAACAGAATTTCATGAAACCTTTTCAGATAATAAGGACATACTAGGTAGATGTGCATATCGACAGGAAATTACGATTCAATTTTTTTTCTAGGAGTTACGCCCCTTTGAACTTATTTGCCCAATATACTACTGCAACCTTTTGTCATCGCAACTCCTCTCAAACCACACAACAGAATTTCATGAAACCTTATCAGATAATAAGGACATACTACGTAGATGTGCATATCGACAGGAAATTACGATTAAATTTTTTTTCCAGGAGTTACGTCCCTTTGAACTTATTTACTTTAATGTACTACTGCAACAGTTTGTCATTGCAACTCCTCTAAAACCACACAACAGAATTTCATGAAACCTTTTCAGATAATAAGGACATACTACGTAGATGTGCATATCGACGGGAAATTACGATTCAATTTTTTTTCCAGGAGTTATGCCCCTTTGAACTTATTTGCCCAATATACTACTGCAACCTTTTGTCATCACAATGCCTCTCAAACCACACAACAGAATTTCATGAAACCTTTTCAGATAATAAGGACATACTACGTAGATGTGCATATCAACAGGAAATTATGGTTCAATTTTTTTTCCAGGAGTTACGCCCCTTTGAACTTATTTGCCCAATATACTACTGCAACCTTTTGTCATCGCAACTCCTCTCAAACCACACAACAGAATTTCATGAAACCTTTTCAGATAATAAGGACATACTACGTAGATGTGCATATCGACAGGAAATTACGACTCAAATTTTTTTCCAGGAGTTACACCCCTTTGAACTTATTTGCCCAATATACTACTGCAACTTTTTGTCATTGCAACTCCTCTCAAACCACACAACAGAATTTCATGAAACCTTTTCAGATAATAAGGACATACTACGTAGATGTGAATATCGACAGGAAATTACGATTCAATTTTTTTTCCAGGAGTTACGCCCCTTTGAACTTATTTGCCCAATATACTACTGCAACCTTTTGTCATTGCAACTCCTCTCAAACCACACAACAGAATTTCATGAAACTGTGTAGATAATAAGGACATACTATGTAGATGTGCATTTTGACAGGAAATTATGATTCAATTTTTTTTTCTGATACAATTTCTGTTTCTTACACTTATTTTATTTCTCCAATGACAATGTGGGGACCTGGGGTATGTGAGCGCGCCCACTAAGGTTCTTTAATTATGTATAGAAAAAGTCACAGAGAAATTATTTGAAATTGTATGTAGTTAATATCAACTGCAGTGTTCCCGCCTGCCCTAAATAGAAGGGCGGCCCACCCTGGTTGCCCTTACCCCTGCCCTTCTACCCTCCAAAGTAAAAGAATGCCCCCTCTGCCTTTTCAAAAAAATAAAATTTCCAAATTTTCATGCCTACCGTCGTTTTTGGCGTTTCCGGTAAAATTGTTACCTGATTGTGTAACACTAATTAACTGACAATGGGATTAAGTTAAATACCTAATGCTTTGGCAGTTTTATCACCTTTGTTAATGATTGTTTACTGCTAATTAGTGGATTTAAGATAATTGAACAAATACTAGATATTTAATACAGAATGAAATGTCCACATGTTATCCATTTGTAATGTTTATGTACAGCATGTACACCATAAAAAAATTATTTCAGTAGGCATAACATAAAAAATAAAATCTTAAACAATTTTAAAGGCATACATAGTTTTGACTTAATTGGTAAAAAATGTTTTGTTTCATAACCATGAGTATGAAATTTAAAGAAGAATCAAAGAAATTTGAACTTTGAACATAACAAGATTCACTTCCTGTTTTACTTCTTGTATTTTATAATCCTCCTGACATAGGAGCACTCAACAAATTTATTTTTAACAATGATGGAGAAAAAAGTAACTGTCTATTCCTTCTGCAATATATTATTGCATCAATATAATATGATAATCTCCCGTCTCACCTGTAATGTTTATACAACTCCTTACTGAGGAGCACTTTGGTGTGCACTTAAAAATACTTTTTTGTAACAATTCAAATGATAATAAATAACTCTCAATAACATATATACTATATGTTTGAACAAGTAATTTAAATGTAGATAATTTAATTACATTAAACATTCAATTTTGCATGTATAACTCCATCTTTCAAAACTACTTGTTTATTTTGGTATAAGTTATAAAACATTGAAATTTCTTATGATTATTTTCCTTACCAAATGTACAAGTTTGTTTAGATTAACATCAAAATGATATGCTTTGTTTCATGGTATGATAATTTGATAAAATAAAAAAATTCTTACTGGAACCAACATCAAGAACACATTAATTTCTGAATATGATTTAAATACAACTAATGTTCTCCAGCTGAGCCTAGCAATATTCAAGGTAATTTATACATTGTCCAACATTGCCCTTAAAATCTGGGTTATAACGTTAAAGTGCCCTTTAGGACAACTAGCACCCTTCTGCCCTGAGATTCAAGCTGGAACACTGAACTGCATAGTGTTTCAGAATACGTCAACATCTTTTAATGTTAGAATACAGAGGTGTGGTATTTCACTGTTTGTGTTTTTGGAATTTAAGATTATAAACAATGAAAATGTCAAGCTTTTAAAACAATTCAATAGGCAGTTATTAATTTGTTGACACCAATTAACTATTTACATTTCCTATCAATCGTCTACTATCTGGACAGATTATGATACTTAAAACCTTAAAAAGTATATATTTTGTTCATACATGTATTGTGTCATTTATTTATCTTTTAAAGTTCCATATAACTTTGAAAGAAGAGAAAAGAAATGAAATACTATTAAACATTTGTACTACATAAGACTTTATTTCCTATTAGATTTGTGACTTTTTTTCCAACATTTATCAAATGTGTAACTTTTTTTCCTTCCAAATTTGTGACTTTTTTTTCCATTTACCCTTTCTTTGTACTTGAATTTGAAAATGAAAAAAAGGTATTGTAATCTACCAAATAACATCCTTCAAATGTTCACAAGACTGTGGGACATCAAAATTTGTCTGTTTGACATCATTATTTATATTTTTGAATTTGTCTGGCATATTGGCATTAGATGAGGGCTTAATTTGTAGTGGAGGGGGCATTAAGTTTTACCCTTGTCCATCTGTACGTCCGTATGTCCCAAAATTGGTTTCCGTTCTCTAACTTAAGTTTGCCTCAACCAAATGTTCTGAAACTTATACACAATGCTAAATACCACAAAACAAAGATCAAGTTTGAATTTTGGTGGCGTCACTTTTACCTATCTAGAGTTGTGCCCATTTACAAATGGAAAAATTGCTGAATTTTTTAGTTTCCGTTCTCTAAATTAAGTTTTCCTCAACCAAATGTTATGAAACTTATACACCAGGGCTTCCAAAATTATTTTTAGCCAGCCGGACATTTTATATATTATCCTGATTTTAATCCCTTAATTTAAGACTAAATAAACAAAAGGCAATTATGGTAATCAGTTGCCGAGTTGGCCATCCCAATGATTGACATTAAAAAAAAAACGATATTAAACTTTCTTTGATTCAAATTCGAAGTTCTGATGTAAACTGTTAAATTGGCAGTGCATCATTCGAAGTGTGCAACATCAGCGTACTTATATCTGCCTTAGACTCTTTATTTGTGCAAAATAACGTTGTCAAAAACTTTACTTTCGTTTTTAAAGGCAGTGCTTTAATGCCTTTCTAGTTGCCGGGTTAATCCTTCCTTCCGCGATATCCAACTTATCTACGTGGGGGGTCATTAGACTCCAAGTAGATCCGGAAATGTTGAATTCTCTCCTCTTCTTATTGCGATATAAAATGTTTTTTGTTTCATTTCATTTACATTGGGAAATAGAGAAACGATCATTGTGTTTTGTTAGTTTTAAAAACTTTTGATATATTAGTATTTTGCATTATAAGCAGTCAACCGATTGACAAACTAGAATTATTTGAATTCCGTGTGGAAAGAGCTCGGGTTAATTTCGAGTGTTATCTGCAATCTAGATGTTTATAAATCATTTCAGTCGTTGATATAATAATTAAAGGTCGACTGAACATGAATTATATTATACAATTTAAAGCGCATTTCTGTTTATGCACGTGAACCCGTCTAACGTTATTTTCGCAGTTATATGAAGTAGCAAATTATCGTTCCTGAATAGGTGGCGCCGTGGTAGCGGATCCTGTACTCTACTTCCGGTTTCTGCACTGTGCAACTATTTCAGTTATATTTTTAATTAACGATGCCAAGTACTTGTTGTTGTGTACCTGGATGTCATTTAAGAGGAGGACATGCATTTCCAAATGACTTAAAAAGAAGGAAAAGTTGGATCAACGCCATGGCCCATACGCAGATTGGACGAGAACACGATGATATCGTGGAGTCCATCTCAATCAGCTGTTGTTTGCAAGGCACGTTTTACTGAAAAAGACTACGTGCAGGAAACTATTCATGGTAAAACTCTATTTTCCTTGTGAAATATATAGTTATATATGTAATCGCCATGCGAATAAACCAAAGTCTGTTTACAACCGCAATTATCGTTTTAGAATAAAAGGGGGTGGGTAATTCAAGACGTCATAATTTTTTGGATTACGATTCAATGTGATCTGTTTGAGATTTTTTGGTGATTGCTACAATTATAATGATTTCTTACAAGAGGTATATCATACTGAGAATTATTTTAGCAGTAATTATGCTAATGTAGTAATGACAGGAATGCATCAGCTATGCCTCATAGACTTTCTTGAAAAATATCAATGACAATGTTAACAGGAACAAAACAATGACATGCTCTCATCTATATTATAGTTATTTAGGTACAAACAATGTACGTTTGTTGCATAAGTCTCTCATTGTTTGTCCTTTGGATTTACATAACATACATTGAATCAGGCAAACATAGTTTTATCCAGATTGTAATGAATAAATCTAGTTAATAGTTCGCCAGGTAGTACAAAGTATACATTGCTAATGGAAGTTCATTTAATTATAAAAAAACTAATGTTTTATAACCTTTTTCAGGGCGCAAACCCACCATACAGAGACTTAAGTCTACTGCAATTCCCAGCCTATTTTCCTGGACCAAGCAAGAGACTGAATCGTCCACAAAAGAAAAAATCAGGGCAGTTTCCTGTGAAAACAAAAGAACTAAACTTGATGAATATTGTAGTAGAAATCTAGAGGAAAGTTTTGATTGTAAAGTTGGTTTTCCTGAAGAAGTCATTCATACTGCAGAAAGGATTTATGACTGTCCACCACCAACTGCCGAGCTAATGTTGAGCTTCACAGATGGAATTACGCAAACACCATCAATGCCTATGTTTTCAGCAGAGAATTTTGAAATGAAGACACGTGACACAGCCATGCATTTTTATACCGGTTTAGAGTTGTATACTAAATTTTTATTTGTTTTGACCACACTTGGTCCAGCAGCACATTGTTTGAGATACATATATTTTCAAATTGATAGGGTGTCAGTTGAAAATCAGTTTTTTTATGACTTTGATGAAATTGAGGCATCATACAACCAACTTTGAACTGTCTAGATTCTAGATTGAATCTAGTGTTAAGAATATTGTGTATACATGGATTGTTTTTATGTCTAAACAGTGGTGTGAGGCTAACACTTGGCCATCTAGTGGTTTAGTCAGGTATTTTTCACCATCCAACTTCAAATTAAAGTTTCCTATGACTTGGATTATTATTGACAGCACAGAATATCCCGTGATAAAACCTAAAGCTCCTAGAGCTCAGGCAACCTTTTCATCAAATAAAAACAGAAACACTGAAAATTCTTGAATGTTCGACACCTGGTGGTTTAGTCAACTATGTCTCTATGTCACATAGAGCGAATTATTGGACTTGGCAAAACATACAAAATTCTAATAAATCCTATGAATGGAACTGAAACAAAACTTTCATCTGAAATAACATTTAGTTGTTTTATGTTGTGTAATTTTAGAACTTGTATTGTGCCAAAGGATGCATAAATAAAAGTGACGCAATGAATTTTGTTCTGATATATATATATTTACAATTACATGCACATGTAAATTGTAATGCATATAAAAATAAGGAGATGTGGTATGATATTCAGTGAGTTTATCTTAACTAAAGTGCATAAGAAATGGGTTTAAGCAGTTACAGGTGTTACTGTCACCGTTCAATCTCCAACAATGAGAAAAACTCGTACCCTGTAAAAAATTTCAGAGATCTTACAACTAAGTTTTGTTGTCTCACCTTGACTTTGGTGAATTTTTTATATCTGTTGATGTAAATATAAAAAAGAAGATGTGGTATGATTGCCAATGAGACAACTCTCCACACATGCACAAGAGACCAAATGACACAGAAATTAACAGCTATAGGTCACAGTACGGCCTTCAACAATGAGCAAAGCCCATACCACACAGTCAGCTATAAAAGGCCCAGAAATGACAATGTAAAACAATTCAAACAAGAAAACTAACGGCCTATTTTATGTAAAAAAATGAACAAATATAACAAATATGCAACACATAAACAAACGACAACCACTGAATTACACTTTTATAGGCTCCTGACTTGGGACAGGCACATACATGTACAAACAGAATGTGGCGGGCTTAAACATGTTAGCGGGATCCCAACCCTCCCCCTAACCTGGGACAGTGGTGTAACAGTACAATATAAGAAAGAACTATAAAAATCAGTTGAAAGAGGCTAAACTCATGATCATCAGATGGATAAATACAAATACAAGTGGACGTGGTCGGGTAGTTGTACATCCAAACAACAAAAAGACACTAAGTACAAATCTGAGAGTACTCGCAGTTACTGACAGCTAGTTCAAAGCCACTAACAACTGATAAAAAAATCTTGCATCCAAGACTAAATTATCAACCCGTAAGCTCCCTTTAGAATTTTATAAATTTTAGATTTTACATTTCTGAGTTATGGGGTTTTATTCATTAAAAAAGGGGGGATTTTCCAGTTTTTGGACAACAACTCAAAAATGCTTTAAGCAGTTCACATGAAACCTTGGTGAATTATTTATAGCTATTGATGTAATCTCCCTATTGATTTTCATAAATTTCAAATATGACATTGAGAAGAAATTGAACTTTATTTGTTTATAGTCTGGCAACAGATTTATTAAGTATTGCAAAACAGCACAGTGTATTGCACAACAGCAAGAAATCTTTAATTGAATATAAATTCAATTCATATAACCGATTTCAAGTTCATTGACTACATTTATTCAGAAACTATAATATGTCAAATATTTAATTACAATCCAAATTCAGACCTGTATCAAGCTTGAATATTGTGTCCATTTTTGCCCCAGCTGTTCAGGGTAGTACCTCTGCGGGTGTATCCAGCTGCGCTCAGCGAATCAGTTTATTTCTTAATTAAGAACTCCTTTTTATACGACCACAAACAAATTTTTGTGGACGTATATTGGTATGACGTTGGCGTCGCCGGTGTCGTCGTCCGAAGACACATTAGTTTTTGCACTCTAACTTTAGTTTAAGTGAATGGATCTCAATGAAATTTTAAAATAAGGTTCAATACCACAAAAGGAAAGTGGGGATTGATTTTGGGGGTTATGGTACCAACAGTTAAGGAATTAGGGGCCAAAAATAAGCATTTTTGTAACTTCCAGACATAACTTGTGTGTAAGTGTATGGATCTCTCTGACATTGTACCACAAGGTTCCATATCACAAAGGGAATGCTGGGATTGATTTTTGGGGGTGATTGCCTCCAAATTTTAGGAATTAGGGGCAAAAAACAAGCATTTTTCTAGTTTCATGACAATAACTTGTGTGCAAGTCTATGGATCTCTCTGACATTGTATCACAAGGTTCCATATCACAAAGGGAATGCTGGGATTGAATTTGGGGGTAATTGCCTCAAAATTTTAGGAATTAGGGGCCAAAAAGGGGCAAAAAACAAGCATTTTTCTAGTTTCATGGCAATAACTTGTGTGTAAGTGTATGGATCTTTATGAAATTGTACTACAAGGTTCCATATCACAAAGGGAAAGCTGGAATTGAGTTTGGGGGTAATTGCCCAAAAAGTTTAGGAATAAGGGACCAAAAATAAGCATTTTTCTAGTTTCCAGACAATAACTTGTGTTCAAGTGTATGGATCTCTCTGAAATTGTACTGCAAGGTACCATACCACAAAGGGAATGCTAGGATTGATTTTGGGGGTAATTGCCTCCAAATTTTAGGAATTAGGGGCCAAAAAGGGGCAAAAAACAAGCATTTTTCTAGTTTCATGACAATAACTTGTGTGTAAGCCTATGGATCTCTCTGACATTGTATCACATGGTTCCATATCACAAAGGGAATGCTGGGATTGATTTTGGGGGTAATTGCCTCCAAATTTTAGGAATTAGGGGCCAAAAAGGGGCAAAAAACAAGCATTTTTGTCGAGCCTTTGACTTTAGTCGAAAAAGCGAGACATAGCGATCCTACATTCCGTCGGTGTCGTCGTCGTCGGCGGCGTCCACAAATATTCACTCTGTGGTTAAAGTTTTTGAAATTTTAATAACTTTCTTAAACTATCCTGGATTTCTACCAAACTTGGACAGAAGCTTGTTTATGATCATAAGATAGTATCCAGAAGTAAATTTTGTAAAAATAAAATTCCATTTTTTCCGTATTTTACTTATAAATGGACTTAGTTTTTCTGCCGGGAAATATTACATTCACTCTGTGGTTAAAGTTTTTAAAATTTTAATAACTTTCTTAAACTATCCTGGGTTTGTACCAAACTTGGACAGAAGCTTGTTTATGATCATAAGATAGTATCTAGAAGTAAATTTTGTAAAAAAAATAAATCCGTTTTTTCCTTATTTTACTTTTAAATGGACTTAGATTTTCTGCCAGGAAACAACACATTCACTCTGTGGTTAAAGTTTTTAAAATTTTAATAACTTTCTTATACTATTTTGGATTTGTACCAAACTTGGACAGAAGCTTGTTTATGATCAAAAGCTAGTATCTAGAAGGAAATTTTGTAAAAAATTAAATCCATTTTTTCCGTATTTTACTTTTAAATGGACTTAGATTTTCTGCCAGGAAACAACATATTCACTCTGTGGTTAAAGTTTTTAAAATTTTAATAACTTTCTTATACAATTTTGGATTTGTACCAAACTTGGACAGAAGCTTGTGTATGATCAAATGCTAGTATCTAGAAGGAAATTTTGTTTTCTTCCAGTTAACATTACATTCAGTCTGCAGTTAAAGTTTTTAAACATTTATTAGATTCATAAACTATCCTGGATTTTTACCAAACTTGGACAGAAGCTTCTTACAATCAAAAGATAGTATCAAGAGGAATATTTTTATTGATTTACTTCCTCATTTTTGTTGAGCCTGCGATTAACAGAAAAAGTAGGCGAGACACTGGGTTCCGCGGAACCCTTACGAATTTTTCTAGTTTCATGGCAATAACTTGTGTGTAAGTGTATGGATCGTTATCAAATTGTACTACAAGGTTCCATATCACAAAGGGAAAGCTGGGTTTGAGTTTGGGGGTAATTGCCCTAAACGTTTAGGAATTTGGGACCAAAAAGGGGCCAAAAAACAAGCATTTTTCTAGTTTCCAGACAATTACATGTGTTCAAGTGTATGGATCTCTCTGAAATTGTACTGCAAGGTACCATACCACAAAGGGAAGGCTGGGATTGAGTTTTGGGGTGATGAATCATAAGGGGGTTCAAAAAATTTGGGGGGGGATTCTTTTTCCTTTTTTTTCTTTAAAATTTTCCATTTTAAATTGGTTATTTCTGATTTATATATAAAAGCAAATAATAATGATATGGTTTGAATAGGTAAATTAAATTTTTTTAAGTATCTTAGACCACTTTCATTCTGTGTCAGAAACCTATGCTGTGTCAAATATTTAATTACAATCCAAATTCAGTGCTGAATCAAGCTTGAATGTTGTGTTCATACTTGCCCCAACTGTTCAGGGTTCGACCTCTGCGGTCGTATCAAGCTGCGCCCCAGCGGAGAATTTTATTTCATTCATAAATAACTTTATGCTTGGAAATATAATTTTGCTTGGAATTGAAAGAGTTGACATGTTGCAATGTACATTTACTCTACATAGTTCTATGGTACCAAATCAAAAGTTTATATAAAGAAAGAAGTCAAAGGTTTCCCATCATAGTTTAGTTACATACATTTTTTTTGTACCTGAGGTCGTTGAATATAGATCATTATATAAATAAGGAGATGTGTTATGATTGCCAATGAAAAAACTAAGGATTTTCTTATCCAAGGAATAGATTACCTTAGCCGTATTTGGCACAACTTTTTGGAATTTTGGGTCCTCAATGCTCTTCAACTTTGTACTTGTTTGGCTTTGTTACTATTTTGATCTGAACGTCACTGATGAGTCTTATGTAGACGAAACACACGTCTGGCGTATTAAATTATAATCCTGGTACCTTTGATAACTAATTTGACTATAAACATAGATAAAAAAGGTACAAACTGGACATAATGCACTAGTTCATAAACAAGTGAGAACAATCGCCTTCATATAGTGCTCAGAATATGACATTCATAAAACTTATTCAATATCATTAGAGATCTCTAAATCTTAAATACTGAAAGCCACCTCTGATAAGTACACTGTACTATGCAAGATAATGATATAACTGGACTTAAAATACACACAACCTGTAATTAACTGCCTTTACAGCGCTTTAGTGCTTTGATTAAATCTAATACCGGATGTAATCTTGACAATGGTAAAACATGGACCAGAGACAGATATGTAAATTCTGTGTACGTTTGCAAAGCATGAATGAGTGTAAGTAGCTCATTCTACGTTATTTCTTCAAGAAAATATTTGAAATAAACGTGAGATAAAGGTATCAATGACAATTTAAGCATTTTTTGAAGAAATTAGGATGCATAATTAAATTTCACACCTGCGCACATGCGCACACACACGTGTACTAGTTCAAACAAAGTCATGTCTCTGGTTAAAACAACGTGGTTATGACGATTTTTCATTTTCACCTTTTTAATTTTTTCATCAAATCATATTTGTAAATGTATTTCTGATAATTTGAATCTTTTTGACTAAATTAATTAGATGCAAACCAGTGAAATGTAAGAAAATAACTTTGAATAGACCAATCAATGTCTGGTTCAAAATAGTTTACCTGTCACCTGAACAGGTAAATTTCAGCTGTTCAACAACTAATTAGCCTTGATTAAAATGAGAAGGTATTAAAGTAGGGGTTGTTTTGATACAATGATAGTACTTAATGATCATGTCACTTTTATGACCGGAAATGTGTGGCTGTTAAAGGCAAAAGGTTGGATCAAAAAGATCGCGATTTATGTTAAAATGACCGTCTCTTAAGAAAGCATTGAAAACTAAAAAGTAGATGACCGTTTCGTGCTATATGTCCGGAATATATGACCGTTTTGGAAGCCTTGTTATACACAATGCTTATTACTACAAAACAAAGATTAAGTTTGAATTTTGGTGGTGTCACTTTTACCGTTCTAGAGTTATGCCCCTTTATAAATGAAAAAATGCTGAATTTTTCATTTCCGTTCTCTAACTTGAGTTTGTCTCTACCAAATGTCATGAAGCTTATACACAAAGCTAATTACCACAAAACACAGATCTATTTTGAATTTTGGTGGCATCACTTTTACCGTTCTAGAGTTATGTCCATTTACAAATGGAAAAATTGCTGAATGTTTGTCTTCTGTTCTCTAATTTGAGTTTGCCTCAACCAAATGTTATGAAACTTATATACAATTCTTATTACCAGAAAACCCAGATCAAGTTCAAATTTGGGTAGTGTCACTTTTACCGTTCTTGAGTTATGTACCTTGATAACATTATATGCAAGCGGGGGCATCATCTGTGTCCCATGGACAAATTCCCCATTTTTTTTTACATTCAGTAATTGCCACTTTAGGTCAAACTGGATTAAAACAACAAAATACAACAATAGAATAAACATAATTTTGAAAGGCTTGAATCAGTGTACTATTTTTGCATTTTGAATGACTCTTATTTAACCTCCTTTTTGTTTTAGTATTCTTTTCAGAAACATGAGATAACTTATCATTGATTTATTCATCTTGCATGTCCTTTATACATTTTATTAATAATACATACAATAATTTGGTCACCATAGCCTACATTTCACACTTAAATGATTTTGGTTTTACTTAGAAATAAGAAGATGTGGTACGAGTGCCAATGAGACAACTCTCCATCCAAGTCACAATGTGTAAAAAGGAAACAATTATAGATCAAAGTACGGCCTTCAACACGGAGCCTTGGCTCCCACCGAACAGCAAGCTATAAAGGGCCCCAAAATGACTAGTGTAAAACAATTCAAACAGGAAAACCAACGGTCTAATCTATATAAAAAACAAGAAACGAGAAACACTTAAGAACCACATTAACAAACGACAACCACTGAAACAGGTTCCTGACTTAGCTTAGTCTTAGGACAGGTGCAAACTAATGCAGCGGGTTTAAACGTTTTAACAGGTGCCAACCTTCACCCTAACCTGATATGTGTTACATTACAACATAGAAAGACACACCATAAAATATCAATTGAATGGCTTAACTCAATCAAAAAGACATATTAACAAAAACAAATTTGATCTATGACACAATGTCCGCACCACTTCATCTCGAACACAGGGATGAAAGTAATGGTATAACCTTTAATTAGCCTCAAAATAAAATCTATTAAAAAAAGTTTGCTTACCTCCTCCATCTCCAAAAAGACAACTATAACCTTGGAGAAAAATGACGTTAAATAAGATAAGGTACACAGGTAAATTTAAATATAATAATTTTGTTGTTAGGAGTACAGAGATATTTTTTACAAAATAAATAAATTTTTTGTTCATAGTAAGAAAACAGCAGTGAAAATTTATCGTCATACTAAATACTGATCAAAGGTGGTACATATTAAAAATAGTGAGACGAAATATAACACAAAATAAGTAAACATTGAATAACAAAAATGCATTACAAATTGTGTAACGTCAAATTTAACATGAAAGTACGATTTGAGAGTACTCGCAGTTACTGAAAGCTAGTTAAAAGCCAAAAACAATTAATAATAAAAAATCATGCATCAGACACTAAAATCAACTAAAACGCATTCCAGGGATTTAGTGTTTTAACGCCATGGACAGTCAAAGAAGGCATGACTTGTGCAATGCCAAAATAAAAGTATGGACAGGCAGTAGGATAGTTTGGATTTAACCTTGTAATAAATATTTATAATGTTATATATAAATAAAGCAATCTCTATATAGAAAATAAATGTAGATATGTATTTATACATCCAAAAAACCATTCGAAAAGAATACAAATTCAGTGATGTTTTCATTTGTTGATGACAAAATCAATACTGTTTACATTTCCTTTGGTTGCAGTAAAACAGAATTTTGATGATCTAGCTACATACATGTATATAATGTTTGTACGAAAAATTTAAAAAAGATTTGCACCTAATGAAATGTGTACATACATGTATTCAGGGACTTTTTGCAGATTTGCTAGATGGTGAAAACATTTTGCATGGAGATGTTGAGGAATTGGCAGGTATGCCATAGTGTCTGATCCTTTGGTACCTAACTGTGTATTAAGATTTATTATTTTTATGATCTCTTACATTAATGAATAACCTGTGTTTTATTTTTGTTCTTCTTTGAAACTTCAGGAGTAAAATTAGAATTAATTGTTTTATTTTGATATTTAGATTATTTCCGCTGTAGAAGTGGAGAAGGAATCCAGTCCAAATTTGTCTGTGACGGCCATAATGACTGCCAGGATATGTCAGATGAAGCTGATTGTGGTTTGTATTTACGCTTTCATAAAGTTCTTTCTTTAAGTGGAGTGTTATTGGAAGAAGCTTATAGTTTAAAACAAACCTGACGTACATCATCCATTTAAATTCAGCTGAGAATTGTTTTTCATGTATTGAAGATTCTTGAATCAGATACAACAATACCTGTCAAATGGAAAAGAGATTTACTCTGCTGATGTAATGAATAGTCATATTTGTTTTTGATTGATGTGCAACCAGCAGAAATGCTCATTCTTGAGCATGTGTGTTGAGATAAATTTCCCTGCCAAAAGGAAAGGAAAAAAAGTGTAGCAGTACACCAATGATATGTTTATATATGTATAAATATTACTTGATAAAGTTTCAGTGTTATAATTAGGTGTTAAAGCTTGCAATTTTGCTTGTATACACTGCAGAACTTTGGACTTTAAAAGGGAAACAACTCTCAACTATTTTATTTGGTATAACTTTCGACCAACAGTTGGTTTTTGATTGGAAGGACAATTTTTGAAAAGTATTCATGACCTGGGTAACTAATTATAGTGAATATACAATATGTTTTAGTTCTGTGATTTTGCTCCTGATTCTGTTTCTCATACAATCTTGTTCGGCCCTGATAACTTTTGTCATTGGGTTTTGATATTTCACAAAAATTAGTTTCTGTTCTCTAACTCTTCTCTCAACCAAAGGTTATGAAACTTATACACAATGCTTATAACCACAAAACTCAGATCAGGTTTGAATTTGGAAGGTGTTACTTTTACCAATCCAGAGTATGTCCTTCTATAATGCTATATGAAAGCAGGGGCATAATCTGTGTCCCATGGACACATTCTCCTTTTATTTATAAAAATAAGTTAGCATTTAGTTCGCCTCAACCAAAGGATATGAAACTTATACACAATGCTTATTACCACAAAACTCAGATCAAGTTTGAATTTGAATGGTGTTACTTTTACCGTTCCGTAGTTTGTCCTTCTATAATGATATATGCAAGCCGGGGCATAATCTGTGTCCCATGAACACATTCTCCATTTATTTATAAAAATAAGTTAGCGTTTACAACAGCTATTAAATTGATGAAATATATTTTGAAGAAATACTCATATAAATTTATTGTCAGTAGTGAAACTGTTATTAAACATATTTCTTTGGCCAATTGATACACAACTTATAATCTTTTTTGACTTTTTCAGCGACTAAATGTCATTATGTGATTGATGCAGATTCAAATCCTTCAGGTGAAATTGTCAGCACTAACAACTATCTGAATTCTAAATCCTGTTTCTGGTCTATTGTAACAAACATTGGATCAACAATAAAAGTCCAGGTAAAATAATTGCAAGCAATATTTTTATTTCAGAATGCGACACTTGAACCAGGTTTTGTGGCTGCCTAAGAAATCGTTGGTGGATTTTGGTTTCTGGTCGGTCCTTCTGTTTGTCAGTTTATTTGTCTGTCCTTCTGTTTGTCTGTTTATTTGTCTGTCCTTTATATAATTATCAGATTTAGGTTTTTGGTCAAGGTAGTTACCCATGAACTTGATGAAGTTGTTGTCATATCTACTTGAAACTTACACTGGTAGACCTATTTGGCAAAACCCTGCGATTTTTGGAAAAACTCTGGTGTTCTTGGAGAATCTGCGCGAAACGGATAATAATTAGGTTCATTGTAAATTTGCTGTGTCACAGTAGATTATGCATGTCATCCGGAGATTTACCATGTCGGCAGGAATTAGCCGTTTGTCCGATAAAACTGGTGTGTATTGAGTCATCAATAGAATCTGTGATGCGTGAGCGACGGTTATTGATAGATCGTTGTATATAGGTGTTTACAGAATCCTTTATGCGTGAGCGTTGGTTATTAATAGATCGTTGTGATATATACAATGTTTACAGTCAGATAAAAAAAAAATGTCTTATTTCCCTTTTCAGTTGAGATAAAACAGTGTTTTTGATAATAAAGTTACTTTCGATTTAAATATCGAATTTTGTCATTGTTCAATAAAGAAAAATCTATTTTAATGTGACCAATGAACAGGATGAATACACGTGGTAACTTTGCAATACACAACTACAATAATTTTTTTTTAATATATGAATGGAAATCGTTTTTACGTTAAAAAATGTACTAATAGAGTCTTATTACAGAAGATGCCGTAATCCAGCAAGATGTTTCACTGATTTGACACTTGTCCTAGTGTAATTAACACCTGCTGTGATATTCCTTGTGCAATACCAGTGGAAGGTCGTAAATCAATCTGTACCCGATTGATTAGAATGAAATTTTACCTGTACATATATTTAGTCTTTATGGAGGATATCATAGATACATGTTATATATTGTATTGTAATTAATGAAGATAATTTAAATATATTATATAAGAAAGACCTATTTGCATATACATCGAACATGTTCATTCCAACCAAGAAGGTTTGAAATTGAATGTTTTCAACAAGCTTTGGATAAAATCAGTCCCGTAAATTATATACGAGTCATTCTTTTATGGTTACAAAATTGTTACCCTTCAGGGCTCACACTACTTCAGAATTATAGGGAAAAGTGACTTCTCATTTTGAAATCGAGAGGGAGAAGTGGTGAGATTTGAAAGAGAAGTGCTTGTTCGCTCGCGGCACTACAATGTTTGGTTTTTAATATAAAACATTAAGGGCCATATATATCTTATTTTTTTATATTGTTCAATTTGTACCAGGGTATACAATTAAAGTAACTGTTCAAATTTAAAGTTGTTTAATTTTATCATATCTAGTTGCACAATCATATGAGTCCTCTTTCCAGAAAAAAACAATTAAATATCTGGCACTAATAAAAAAGATTTTTTTTTTATATCAAAAAGGAAAAGAAAGTTGTTATATCAATTAAAAAACAACTCTGTTATCATCTTCATGAAACTGAGTATTCTCATTAAAAAGATATATAAATTTAACAGTTAAGCTAGGACATAATATAATTATACTAGTGTAATAGTCCCAGAGTTGAGCAACTTTAACTTATAAATTGAATCAATGCATATACATGGAAATATATATACATTAATCAAGAAGATCTAACCAAAAGTATGTTAATGCGTGTGGAAAGCGTAATTTTTCCTTTTGGGATCAATTTTTGTCTGTCAGCAGTGCCATTCATTCGTCCATAGTCATTATCGTAAAAATCCGGATTTCGGTCATAGCAGGTCTGTTTCCGATGAAATCCCAACTCCGATCCGTAGTTGTACAATAATATGCCCAATAATTTAAATGGCGGACGAAGAAAAATTTACAAAAAATAAACGATGTTTGACACGCTATTTGGAAAGGAATAGGACGTTTTTAATGCAATACAAGGATAACAAATTTACTTCAGACAAATTTCATCAAGTTCTAATGAAGTAACAACTTATTTTGCCGAGAGTTAGAATGATTTGATGTATGCTCGAGTAACAAGTACCGGAAGTGATAAAAAATTAATTCTTATGAAATAACATGCCACCAACTTTGAAATCAATGCTTTGACCTCTTTTCTAAAGAAAATAAATCGTTTATGCCTTGAATTTCTTTACTTTTAAATGAAAAATTGCTGTTTCATCGTCTTGGTAAAAATTGAATATTGCCGATGACGAAAGCGACTGAAAGCGAGTATTGTAAACCACAGGGCGACTTGTTTTCGCTTTTGAGGGTCGGGCAAAGCGAAGTGACAGACGGGAAAGCGACTTCTTTGCCCTAGTCGCCTGGTAGCGTGAGCCCTGCCCTTCTAACGTCTTATTTCTTTGTGCTGTTAAAAGAAACTCACAATTTTCCATATCAGATCGACATATTGTACGGGTCCTAAAATATATAATTGAATAATCTATTTTCCTTTCGACACCACGTTCCCCACAGGAGCCTCAAGATCTAATCATACCTGTCAATCATTAGCTTCAAGTTGAACATTTTGGTCAGCCAGATCACTCGTGCTTTCTATTATGACATCGTTGGGAAGTTGTTGTAAATTGATTTGTTATATGAATAAAGTGATGGGAAGTTTCTTTTACCGCCGATCAGAATTTGTTGTGATTCGAATAAGATTTTTCTTTACACAAAGCTGTTTTTAAATACGTCATAAAATACATGGAAATAAAACATTTGAGTTCATTTTTTTCCCGTATCTATATTCAATATATCAAAATTTATATCAAAAGGTAAACATTTATAATCATTACAAAGTTATAATTTGATTTTTATTTAAGTCGGTTTATTGAAACAATAAAATGACATTGTCTTTGCAGAAGTATTAATCCAGACCAGTGTTTTCCCTAGGCTATTAAAGCATTGCAGTACCACTACGCATAAATTTCGACTGCCATGCTTTCATCATTGCCGCAATGCATCCCGCTATGTGTGAGAATTATAACTGTGTAAAATATTTATTATCGATATTTTGAAAGTGGAGTGACAAGTGACAACACTCCACATGTGTTTTAAACTCGTCCGACTGATAATCGGATGCATCACGTCGCGCGTGCCGGGATTTTACAACCTTCTTGATTAGTTGGTTATATATCAAGACTTCGGTTACATGATAGAAGTTGCCAGTTAGCTGATAAATAAATAGTCAGATTAATCTCCAATGCATATCTTTCTGTGCTTAATAAAAAGTTTAACCTTTTCCAGTATAAATTTCACCTTTAAAACGGGTGTTTGACATCGTTATTTTACTGTGATCATTAAAAAGTAGAAATTTAAAATTTGGTATAGTATCCGGTATTATAAAATAAAACTAACGTAATTTCACCGAGAATGGACAAAACTTTTGTTTTAATAAAGTTTCACAGTTTTTTGTAGCAGCTATGTTTACATCGATGAATTAATTTTTTGATTGGTCACAACAATCAGTTATTTTTAGATTAGTTGCGGTTGATTGATTATATCAAAGAATACACATCACCGCCACCGGGCCGAGAAAAAGACGTGTCTTATGAAATATTTAAAAGATTTGATAGAAAAACTATCATAACATACGTAGTTATTTAAGGAAATATTGTTTTAATAAACTTGTGTTGTTCTATTTTTATTTCAATGGGTCACATGAAGCTTAAGTGTAGCGGATTCATTTGCCGTTTTTTACACAAGTGGGGCTAAATTTCTTTCACTTCGGCAAGATAGGATTTTTACAATTATGAATTCGAAGCATTGTAAATAAATCGGACAGGGATGTATTTAAAAAAAATAGATACAAATTGTCATGAAATAAAATATCAGCTTAGCTTCCAAACAATGTCATCCGTATGTCCGTATGTCAGGTATTCTTCATTGACGACTTCTGTAATTAACGCAAATAAACTTTGTTTTATTGTTTCCTGTAAAATCTCTGTGAAGCAATGATGACATTCAAAGTTTTATTTAACAACTTGCTGTTGATGCTGAAACCATTCTATCAGCAAACTGAGGACACTGTTAGTGAAAGAATCACAGGCACTTGTCTCAGAAATTTTTTTTCCTATACACCTTAATATATTATTAAGGTATATAGGAAATTTTTTTTCTGAGACAAGTGCCTGTGGAAAGAATGTAAAGACATGACATTTAGGCAGACAATGAACAAAGTTGCCAATCTTGGAACTTTATATCCTTGTCTATCTAAGTATGCAGCAATTGATCTTCTTTTGCCAGTTTCAACAGCTGATTGTGAAAGGTGTTTTTATACGACCGCAAAAAAATTTTTGTGGTCATATATTGGTATGATGTTGGCGTCGTCGTCGTCGTCCGGCGTCGTCGTCCGGCGTCGTCGTCCGAAGACACATTAGTTTTCGCACTCTAACTTTAGTTTTAGTGAATGGATCTCAATGAAATTTTACCAGAAGGTTCAATACCACAAAAGGAAGGTGGGGATTGATTTTGGGGGTTATGGTACCCACAGTTAAGGAATTAGGGGCCAAAAAGGGGCCAAAAATAAGCATTTTTGTAACTTCCAGACATAACTTGTGTGAAAGTGTATGGATCTCTCTGACATTGTACCACAAGGTTCCATATCACAAAGGGAATGCTGGGATTGATTTTGGGGGTAATTGCCTCCAAATTTTAGGAATAAGGGGCCAAAAAGGGGCAAAAAACAAGCATTTTTCTAGTTTCATGACAATAACTTGTGTGTAAGTGTATGGATCTCTCTGACATTGTATCACAAGGTTCCATATCACAAAGGGAATGCTTGGATTGATTTTGGGGGTATTTGCCTCTATATTTTAGGAATTAGGGGCCAAAAAGGGGCGAAAAACAAGCATTTTTCTAGTTTCAGGACAATAACTTGTGTGTAAGTGTATGGATCTTAATGAAATTGTACTGCAAGGTTCCA